GTGCGTCCCGAGCGCGCTGCCACCTCGACCCTGGCGCTCCAGACGGCGGCGGCCGCAGGGGCGAGCGTCAGCCCCTCGGCGTCTACAGCCAGGCTGCAAGGCGACCCCGCGCATCTTCGCATTCCAGGGACCGTCGCCGCCGGGGCGGGGGCGGGGCCAGGCCCGAGGGGCGGCGCCTGCGCAACAAACGACTCACTGCCGCCGGCAGCGGCGCCCCTACGCGGAGCGAGCGCGGCGTGCGGCTCTTTTTCTGAGAACATGGGTGGCTCTGAAAAGAGCCTTTGGTATCGCAGGGCCCGGGCCGGGCCGGGCAGGGCGGTGCGGAGCGGCGACGCGCCGCCTCACTTGCCCTTCGCCTTGTGGTGGCTCTCCGTCTTCTTGGGCAGCAGCACGGCCTGGATGTTGGGCAGGACGCCGCCCTGCGCGATGGTCACGCGGCCCAACAGCTTGTTGAGCTCCTCGTCGTTGCGGATGGCCAGCTGCAGGTGGCGTGGGATGATGCGCGTCTTCTTGTTGTCGCGGGCCGCGTTGCCCGCCAGCTCCAGGATCTCAGCCGTCAGGTACTCCAGCACCGCCGCCAGGTACACCGGGGCGCCGGCGCCCACGCGCTCCGAGTAGTTGCCCTTGCGCAGCAGGCGGTGCACGCGACCCACGGGAAACTGCAGGCCGGCACGCGATGAGCGGGACTTAGCCTTGGCGCGCGCCTTGCCGCCCTGTTTGCCGCGACCAGACATCTCCGAGCTTACACAGGATCCCAAGCGAATGAGGGTCCGGACTACAGTGAGACAAGCGTGCGCCTCCGTGAGCCCTTATATATGGTTCGGGGGTAGGTCAGTCGGTGGCTTCCGATTGGGTAGCGACGGTAGCCAATCGGAACGGGAAGCCCGTATCTCCTCATTTGCATGTGCCCCACCAGGGATGACGTCATTCAGTCTCTGACCCTATCAGTAACTGGCAGCTTCTGATCCCTCATTTGAATACGGGACGTACAAATATGGTTGCGCTGAACGCTGGCGTTTTTTCTGTTTCTAGCCACCCGCCATCATGCCTGATCCCTCCAAGTCGGCGCCCGCGCCCAAGAAGGGCTCCAAGAAGGCGGTGACCAAGGCGCAGAAGAAGGACGGCAAGAAGCGCAAGCGCAGCCGCAAGGAGAGCTACTCCATCTACGTGTACAAGGTGCTCAAGCAGGTGCACCCCGACACGGGCATCTCGTCCAAGGCCATGGGCATCATGAACTCCTTCGTCAACGACATCTTCGAGCGCATCGCCAGCGAGGCTTCCCGCCTGGCGCACTACAACAAGCGCTCGACCATCACGTCGCGGGAGGTGCAGACGGCCGTGCGCCTGCTGCTGCCCGGCGAGCTGGCCAAGCACGCCGTGTCCGAGGGCACCAAGGC